ACATAGCCATTATGCCAACTTCTGGTCCCTCCATCTTTTCTTTTCTTTTTTTTTTTCTTTTTCTGGCTATGGGACACAGGAGCTTATCAGAGAGAAAGGGGAAGTAAGAAAATACCCTCAGGGGGAGATGGCCATGCTATAATCCCTTCCCTTCTATTCTCATCTCTGGGTTTTGGATGGCCATGCATGCACATGTGTCCAGCGTGATTTTCAAGTCACCAGGTTCAGGACTCAAACTGCATAGGCAGCTGTATGAAATCTAGCCACCTAACCACTGAGCTACCTGCTGGCTCCTCCGTTTTTAAATAATATGCATTTTCCATGAAGTTTTTAAAAATCCTCATGTGCTACTCTTGGACTTTTAGATTTTTTTAGGGACTTGAAAGTAGGGGGACCAGCAGTTGGTGTAATGGCTATGTCGCTGGACTCCTATGTAGTCGACCGCGGTTCACGTCCCGGTCCTGGTGGCTTAAAACTCACGCCGGGCGCGTGTGCGTGCGTGCCCAAGATCCCAAGAGGAGAACGGAGGAGAAGGGATTGTGGCGTGGGCATCCCCCCTGGAGGGGGATTTCTCACTTTCTGTCTCTCTGTCTGTCTGGCGAACACACGCACCCTATGGCAAAAACCTCTCCAAAAAAAAAATAAATAAAAGTAGGCTCTCCTTCTCCCAAGAGAGATTGCCTGGAGAGACCTTTGCGACACTATTTCTCAAAGAGGGCACGTGGTGCCTGGGCTCTCGTGCCAGAATGTTGGACGTGCTCCAGAGACACGCTTGGTAATCAGCCCATGTTCATTGAACATGGCCAATGACTTATTCTGTCCAGCTCCAGGGACGGCCCTGATTCTCCTTCAGGCCCTGTGGGTCAGATAGCACCGTGGTGACTTCTCCCTGGGGTGTCCCCTGCCAGGGAAGAAGCATTTAGAGAGATGTAAGTGCCTGCCTGAGGTCACGGAAGGTGGGACTCGGAAAGCTGCAATGGGAATCTCGGCTCAGCTCCAACACCCGCGCTGTCTTCAGTGTACCCTCAAGCTGCTCTCCCACTCACAACCTTCCAAGACACAAACAAACACAAATAAGTAAAGATGTTTCTATGATGTTTGGGTGGCCACGTGGTAGAATTTGGGGTGTCTCACTTGTGCAGCTGTGACCCTTGCACTTTGAACACACTTTTTTTTTTTTTTTTAGTTTGGAAGCTCTACAATATCTCGTGAGCTTCTCTTGCTGTTCTATGCCAGTTCAGTTTGATTTCTGCGTAGTACTTTATACTGACCTGCATGTTTTCCTGGTGGTATGGATTTATTTATTTGAATTATTTCCTTTATTTTATTTATCATTATTGTTATTTATAAATTTGACCATAGCAAGACAGAGGAAGAGAGAGAGATTGAGATTGGGAGAGAGAGACAAATCAAGCCACCAGGTCTGGGACTCGAACCATGATCAGCCATATGAGAGTCCAGCACCCCCAACCACCACACCACCTGTCAGCCCCGGTGGTATGGATTTAAATATTGTTCCATCAAAAAAGGAATAAGTGGGCCAAGAGGTGGCGTAATGATTACATCACTGGACTCCCACATAGTTGACTGTGGTTCGAGTTCCAGACCTAGTGGCTTAAAACTCATGCCAGGCATGTGTGTGTACGTGCCCAGAATCACGAGAGGAAAATGGAGAAGGGATTGCGGTGTGGCCATTCCCCCTGGGGGTGGTTTCTCACTTTCTTTCTCTCTGTCTCTGTGGCAAGCACACATGCCCTATAGCAAAAATATGTCTTAGAAAAAAATAATAAAAGGAATAAGCAAATAAACTGGCAAAAATGTGACAAATGAAAAGTCACCCTAATCACTGAATTCGAGTCTGATGACTTGCAATATTGGTAAATGGTTAAACAAAATTAATAATGTGAATATTCTACTTTTTCTAATTATTTTATTTAACTTTATTTATTTATTTTAATTTGACCAGAGAGGGATAGACACACACACACACACACACACACACACACACACAGAAAGGGAAAGTGGGAAATCAAGCCACCAGGTCTGGACTTGAACTGCAGTTGGCCATGTGGGAGTCTAGCGCTTTTAACCACCATGCCACCTGCTGGACCCAATAATGTGAATGTTCTTATGATGTCTTGACTAAGTGCCCTAACTCCTAAACCTGTGTTTTTTGTTTTGTTTTGTTTTTAAGTGTTTTTGCCATAGGGTGCGTGCGCTGGCCAGAAAGGGAAAGTGAGAAATCACTCCCCGGGGGGAATGGCCTTGCATGCTGCCATTCCTTCTCCATTTTCCTCTCAGGATTTTGGGCACACACACACACACCTGGTGTGATTTTGAAGTTGCCAGGTCCAGGACTTGAGCTGCGTTCAGCCATGTGGGAGTTCAGCACCTTAACCACCACCCCATATGCTGGCTCCCTCTTGAACCTGTTTTTGTGAGAGGTCCCCTGAGGGTCCTCTGTCTCCTCTCCTTTATTCAGAAGCCCCTGGACACATGGGAGTTATTAAGTAACTCTGGCCACGTTACAAGCCCTGGTTGGCTCAAGAACACTGGCCTGTGCCTTCATAAGTGTCCACAAGAGACAGAATAAAAATTCCTAGTCACTTGAGTGGAGGCGTGTCAGGCCTGGGCACCTGCCAGTTTCCTTGTCCGCCTGGGGCCTGGGGGAGCCATGGCAGGGACTGTTGTCATTCTTGCCTCATAAAAAGCAGCGGGCAGACAGCTACCTCTGCACATGGTGTGCAGTCCCTCCTTCATACTTGTCGGACTGTGGTGGG